ACTGCAGTTTAGCTGGATAAGAGTTTTTCTATTTTGGTCATTGCGAATAATATATCAGTCTTGTTTGGTGATCAAGTCTGTAAGCCTCTCTAATTTGTTCTGTGAAATACAAGAGAACAGCTGTGTATTTGATCTTACCATATATGTCAAGGATCAGGATTTTGATATTATCTTTTATGTTTTTCTACGGGCAAATTACAATTTACTTATTGTGGTTTAGTGTTTTTGTACATAACCCTTATATGATTTCAAAAGTTATACAAAACCCCTTCATGATTTGGATTAAAATGTCAAAATAACGGAATTTGCAATCCATAATGGAGTCACCTATAATGTCAAAAATATACTTATGTAAAGTTGAAAATTATTGGGTAAATTATATTTTAGCCCCTTGTGGTTTTCGCAAAAACCACATAACCCCCCCATCATTCAAAAAGCTATACATAAACCCCCTGTGGTTTGGGTTGAACTGGCAAATAGACGGAAAGCACCCACCGTAACGATTCGTGGGCAAAATGTCCAAATTACCCTAATATAAATACAAAAAGGAAGCAGATGAGTCAGATTCTTCCTTGTTCTGTCTTTGTCGTGAGAAAAGGAGAGAAAAACATGACCACCGAATGAAGGAGAGAAATTTAACCCACAAAGATCTACCATTGAAGACCAAAAAGTAGCTGTGAAAGAGCATCACGAAAGCTGTTGTTGCATCTGGTAAGTTTTTTGACATCATTTTAGCATATAAGATGCACTTGCATGGTTTTTGAACAGAAACTATCGGGCATTGGAAAGTTAATAAATCAGTGATTATTTTGCTTAAGCGTTGATTAATTTAAAATTTTGCTGCTTTGGGACAATCTGTATTATCATATTTAAGCATAGAGTATTTTATCGACTAGAATTGAATTTATGCATTAAGATTAGGGTAAAGAAAATTGCATTCGGGAGTTCTAAAATCACCGGAATTTCAACTAAACATGGGTAGAATACGACTTTGTTAGTTTGAGATTTGTTGATTAGTGTCAAATTTGGGTCAAATGTGGGTGGCTTGATTTTCAATAATATAGAGTGATTTGGCTGCTGATAAAGTTTTGGCAATTTGGACATTGAATAATTTGGTGTGAGCCCATGTTAAGTAAGTCATACGAATTTGGTTCAATGCTTGGTTCAATGCTTCAGAATTTGGTTCCATGCTTGAGGCATCTTGGAAATTGGCTTTTGATGTGTGCTTTTTTGCTTTAGAACTTAGTCTGAACCTTTACTGCTCCTTATTTGTCTATACTTGAACTCTTGCCGCATAGCTATAATGGTAGTTAAATTAAGGGATAATTTCAGAGTAATGTGGTACATGTTTACAAGCAAGCAGGTTAAAATCCCGCCTGCATAATAACACTGAAACCCGCAAGCGGGATTCTGTGTTTTTTCTATTTCAAGGTTAGCTCGCATGCGGGTTAATGTTATATTTGAGCGCGAGAAGAAAAAATTGGTAATTAGACTCTTTGGGCATTATAAGTAAATATTTAAATTAATGGCAGTTTTATTACACCAATATTATTATATTATCATTATTATGATTATTGTATTATTTCTTATGCAAATATAACATTTAATTATTTAAATTTGATTTTATTTTTACAATTTATAAAATTTTTATCACTTATATAATATTTTTAAAACCCTAATACATCTAAATTTGATTTTATTTTTCAAATTTATAAGATTTTTATTTAAAAAAATGGGATACGGATAAGATATCCGGTTGGTTCGATTTGCATAGGTGCATATGAGAATATCCGAATACTCTTTAAACCCGCATGCGGGTTTAAGGAGATTATGGCAACTCTCTGACACACTAGTTACCCGTCCAACTCTCAGGGGAGGTTTCTGAAATTATCCCTTAAATTAATTGAGATACTTTCTTTTGCTTTAAACCATTGCAAATGTCCACTTTGGATAGCTCATGTATGTGCTTTTTGGCTATGCTGTCTCGATGAGTACCAAGTTCAGCCTGTGAGTACCAAAGCAGGTTCATACCAACTGGAAATCATGTTTGCCTATTATATCAATTGACTACCAAAGCAGATTCATTCATTCATTCATTGAACACAACAGGTTCAGATTTACAACACTTTTAGAGCCACAATTCATCTGAATTATTTTCACTTAAACATCAAAATGAGAAATGATAGCACAGATATAGCAAAACAAGCACCCACGCAAATCTTCATGGCTCCTAAGCTTTCTTCAATGTTTTTCATTTTCCTCAAATATAAACCACCATCCATGCGCAAGCCTTCCACTTCTGAACTATCAATACTTGATTCTCCACTAAATATGTCTCTCCTTGTAACATTCAAATCACTAGTGTAATTTTGTCTTATTCTCCTTGTTGGATTGCACCATGAGAAAAATTCACAACTTCTTGTCGCACAAACAAAATATAGCTTTCCTTTTGAAGGTTTGTCAGATTCAACAATTTTTACCGCTGCTTTTCTCCCACATGAACAAAATAGGTATTGGTACCTTAGATCTTCAGTACTTCCACCAGCACAGCTTGAGCATGACATCTATAGTTTATTGAAAAAAAATTAATAATCCATTCAAGTCATATTTCAGGAAAAGGAAAAGACTGCACCTTGATGTTAGAACTCACCTTCAGATTTCTTTCGTTCTCTATCTTGGGTTCCTTCACCAACATTCAGTGCAAAGTCAGCTACAAAGTATTTCGGAAGATGGAAAGAGATGAGGAGCACCCATCTAGGCTTTATTGGGTACGTCAAATTGGTCAGGGGTAATATGGGTATGTTTCCTACTGCTACCAGAAGAATAGGCGCGTTTTGCCCACGAATCGTTACGGTGGGTGCTTTCCGTCTATTTGTCAGTTCAACCCAAACCACAGGGGGTTTATGTATAGCTTTTTGAACGATGGGGGGGTTATGTGATTTTTTCGAAAACCACAGGGGGCTAAAATGTAATTTGCCCAAAATTATTTATTAATCACAGGGGGTTATATGTATATTTTGAAAATCATAAGAGAGTTATATGGTAAAGTATTAAACTATAAGAGAATTATATGATGAAACATAAAACCATGCGGGGTTAGTGTGTCATGCATATTATGTTTATATATTTTGGTCATTTCAGTCATTTTAATTTTTAAACAAGAGTAATTTCAACATTTTTAAAGGTTCTATTATGAAAAACCATTTCCGTCATTTTAACACTTTAATCCAAACCATGATGGGGTTATGTATAGCTTTTGAAACCATAGGAGGGTTATATACGAAAACACTAAATCGTAGGGGATAAAGTGTAATTTGCCCTTTTTCTAATTATAATTTCATGCTAGCTTTTGGACATTAGCATCTCAACGTTTCATATTAGCTGAAACAAAAGTAGCAATGAAATGTGAGAATCTAGTGAAAGCCATTAACATATAAGCTCTCATGGCAGTTTTTAGCCATTAACATATATATATATATATACACATATATAAGAAGCAGTTTCAGTTTACTCTTTGGCGCACTTTTCGGCTTGCATTTTCATCTGCTTTGTTGGCGAGAAAAACTTTAAAATGTAGAGATATGTATGTTATTATGCAGAGGGAAACACCATTTGTTCGTTTGCTCTAGAAAATTTAGCATCTCATGTAGATTGGCGGTAGTTTCATGTTCATCTTATTATGCAGAGGGAAGCATCATTTGGTCCTTTGCTCTAGAAAATTCATCATCTCATATATAGATAGATCGGCGGTTGTTTCATGTCATAGCCCATTAATATCCTAGGGATATGTATCATTATGCAGAGGGAAGCACCATTTGTTCCTTTGCTCTAGAAAATTTATCATCTCATCTCATATAGATTGGCTATAGATTGGCGGTAGTTTCATGTCATAACCCATTAATATCCTAGGGATATGTATCTTATCTTATTATGCAGAAGGAAGCATCATTTGTTCCATAAGCCATTAATATTTTCTTGTTTTACCGGGCTACAACAATGTAGCAATCAAGCAACATAATGATTTTATTGCCCTTCCACGTGCTTGGTTTTTGTGCAACCAAAGGATCATAGTCGTGGGTACAATTGCACATCTCATATCAGAACTCTTTTTTCATTTGAAAAGGCAGCCCTGAATGAACTCCTGCAACTCATCTCACACTCAGGAAGTTCAACTCAAGCCAGGGCATTGTTTTTGTGCGTTCCAAGTGGAGCTTTAGTTTTACGACGTCTGGTTTTTGTTTGTGCGAAAGAAAGTAACCCATTGAAATAATATATAAACGTTGTTTGTGGTTTCTCTGTTCTCCATCTTGTATCTTTTTCATCGTCTTGCATTTTCTTCTTTGCAGCTCTTAAACAGTATGTATTTTCTTTCTTTCGTCGAATTCTAGCTTCGTTTGCTGCTTTTTATCCCTGTTATGTTTAGTATTTCTTATCCCTGCAGAGTTTCCTGTTTCCTGTTTCTCATCTCTGCAACTTCATTAACTGCTCCTTATCCGTGCAAGTTTCCTCACCAATTTCAGGTTCAGTTCCATGCTTTCTTATTAATATCACGACTCTTTTACCGTTTGTTAAGAGTACCGTTGTGCAGTTTTTATACGCATGTTTGTTTTCCTTGTTCTGCTGTTTATTGAATGTCTTATTGGTTTTGAATTGCTATATATTGCACTTTTGTTTATTGGTTATTTGATTCTTGTTGTCTAATAAAATGAGTTTGTCGAAGTTTGTTCTTGATTCTACTGATTCAATAACTAAAAAAAAAAAACCAACGTAATAAAAAGTTAAGAGAGCAATACGCTGCACTCTCTGCTCAAGAAAAGGGGATTCGTTTGGCCAAACAGAGAGAGGCCTACCAAAGAAGGAAATTAAATAAATTTTTAGCGCTTCCTGCTCACGAACAATTGAAACGAGCTGAAAAATCAGTTATTGGGGAGACTTTTCGCGTTCACTGTAACCAAGCAAAGGTTGAAGACGAACAAGACCGTCTGGCAAAAAAGAAGGAAATGCGTCGACAGAAACAGAGAGAGGCTTATCATAAGAAAAAATTACGCCTATCTTTTGGTACTTATACATCAAAAGATACTGAAGAAATTGTTGATACTGCTCCTGCTACTGCATTAACTGTTACCACGAGTACCAAATGCCTGTCGAGTGAAGATCTTCAAAAAATGGAGAGTGCCACTTCTACTGCAGACAACATATTATCTGCTAAAGTGCCATCTCCAGATAATGCTAAGACATCCAATACAACTACACAAGACAATGGTCAGCAGACTAAAAGTCAAGGTACTATACTCTTCTCCTACTTAAACATGAACTTCTCACTGCAAATATTTTGAATCTTCACCTTCCTTAATCGCGTATACAATTATTCATCATTTCATTTTTTTGGATTAGTTATTAAGCTATCTTTTCTTAATACAGCTAGAAATTCTTCACGGCATTGTTCGGTCAAACGCTCTAGGAAAAAAGCAGCTCCAGCGAAAGGTTCTGAACACTTTTTTCTTACTCATTGCACCAAAAGACTCCTAAAATTTTCCCCTTCGATATTTTGCAACTACCTGTATGATTGATTAATATCCTGCTCTATTGCGAACTAGATCAACACTCAATATAACAATCTATCATTTTTATTCATAGGTAATACAGTCCTACAAGGCATTGATGCACTTAATTGCATACCTCACAAGTCAAATAAGTTACCTCGGAAGGAAGATTGTCAATATTGTCATGCAAAAAAGTTCCATTCTGAAACAGCCAATTTCTGCTGCTCTGATGGTTCTGTTGTTCTCCATGACAATAAATTGCCCAGTGTTCTTGTTGAACTATTCACTGCTCAAACAGAAGAAGCGATTTGTTTCCGTACATATGTTAGAACATATAACAATATGTTTGCTTTCACTTCATTTGGTGTTCACTACGACAAGGCGCTCTGCAAAAGGAACAATGGGATCTACACTTTCAAAATTCAAGGACAGACTTACCATTTTATTAATCATCTGATTCCTCATCATGGTTCAGGAATGTATCTCCAACTTTACTTCCATGACACAGATCGTGAGCTACAGAATAGAATGGCCACGTCAGACAGATTAACTGAAAGCCTTGTGATCAAAATCATGGAAGTTATGAAGACAAATCCTTATGCTTGCTTTTTTCGTAGTTTACGAAACGTACCTCAGCTGGATTCTTATCAAATAGTCTTGAAATCTCACACCGATAATGATCAACGTGTATTTAACCAGCCAACAGCTTCCCAAATTGCAGCTCTTTGGGTTGAAGGGGAAAATTCAGCAAACATCTATTCTAGGCATATACAAATATATACTAAAAAGGGTCATACTCATCGAATTCAATATTATTATGGATGCTATGATCCTCTGCAGTACCCGCTCTTGTTCCCACTAGGAGAAACTGGTTGGCATCCGGGAATTAAAAGATCAGAGAAAGTCAATCCAAAAAAAACAAAGAGAGCAACAAAAAAACAACAGACTTCAGCAACGTTGTCTAATTTCCGTTCTGCTCAAGAAATGATTGACAAGGAAGAGGAAGGTCAGACTACCTATATGCATTTCTTATATATATATAGATAGAAATAGAAACAATAATAATTCCATAATTACATCACTTTTCTTAATGGTTATTTTATGTACAGCTATTCAACGATGCGAGAACTCAAAAGGAATATGTATCAATGAGAGAATACTATGCTTACAAAATGCAAATTAGATACCAGTGCACGCCTAACATTCTCAACACTGGAAGACTATTTCAGCAATTTGTAGTTGAGATGTATGTAAAGATTGAGACTCAGCGGTTAGATTTCTACAGAAGCAGACAACAATTAATACGCAGGGAACAATTACAAGGACTCATGGATAGTGTTGTTCAAGGACAATCTCGCGGAGCACAGGTTGGCCAAAAAGTTATCCTTCCAGCTTCGTTTATTGGGGGTCCAAGAGATATGAAAAGACGATACGTAGATGCAATGGCTCTTGTACAAAAATCTGGCCGACATGATATATTTATTACAATGACTTGTAACCCTGCTTGGCCAGAGATAAAAGAAGCCATGTTACGTACAGATGAAGCTCAGAACCGACCAGATCTCCTATCAAGAGTGTTTCATGCAAAGGTCAACATTTTAAAGGAAGATTTATTCAAAAAGCATATATTTGGAGATGTAGCAGCATATACTTATGTTGTGGAATTCCAGACACGTGGACTACCACATATTCATATGCTTATTATTCTACAGCCGAGATCAAAATTATATTCGACAGAATCCTATGATCGAATTGTGTCTGCTGAAATACCAGATGAACAAGCAAATAAACATCTGTTTAATATGGTTCGAAAGCACATGATGCATGGCCCATGCAGATCAAAAAATCCAAAGAACGTGTGTATGCAAGGCTCATTTATGAGAAGGTGCAGAAATAATTATCCCAAGAAATGGGCTAGCAGAACAACTCATGGAAACAACACCTATCCAACTTATAGACGAAGAAATGATGGCAAGAAAATCATTGTCCGTGGACAAGAACTCGATAACAGGTGGGTAGTTCCATACAATCCCTATTTACTTGCGAAATTCAATTGTCATATCAATGTTGAGATATGTTCTACTGTTAAAGCTGTTAAATATATCTATAAATATATCTACAAAGGACATGATAAGATACATTTCCAGGTTAACAATGATAATGAACCAATAGCTAATAACCAACCAACTCAGATTGATGAAATTACAAAATATCAATCAGCTAGATGGGTATGCCCAGTTGAAGCTATATGGCGTATTTATAGATTTTCGTTATCTGAAATGCATCCTGCAGTTATTCATCTTCAGCTACACCTTGAGAATTTTCAGTGCATGACTTTTAATGAAAAGGAAGATTTACGAGATCTCTTACAAAATTCTTTCAGGAAAAGAACAATACTAACAGAATTTTTTCGCATGAACACTACTGATCCATTAGCTAAGCAGCTAAAATGTACATACAAAGAGTTTTCAGAGTATTTTGTATGGTATCGTGGAAAAAAATATTGGGCAGTGAGACAACAAAAAGACAGTATTGGTAGGATAGTTAGTGCCAGTCCAACAGAGGGTGAACGCTACTTTCTTAGACTGTTGCTTACTCATGTCAAAGCACCAACATCTTTTGATGACTTGAAGATAGTAAATGGAGTTCATGTTGGTATGTATCGACAAGCAGCTATCCTGAAAGGTTATTTTGAATCAAATGATTCACAAGAACAATGTATGGAAGAAGCTGCTGCATATCATATGCCATACAGTCTAAGGAGATTATTTGCAACTTTATTAGTTTATTTCCCACCGGCAAATCCTCCAACTTTATGGAACAAATTTGAACAGGCAATGTCTGAAGACTACAATGGGACATCTACTTTACCTCCTGAACAGATTCGACTTGAGGTACTACACCAAATCAACAACTTTTTGGATTCAATGGGAAAAGACATAAACAGCTTTTCCTTAGTCTCTACAACATTGAGATTCCGAGATAGATACACAAATACAAGAGACACCTTAAGTGAACTCAATATTCAGGTATCGGAAGCAGATTTATTAGCCATTACACAGCTCAATGCAGAACAAAAAACTGCTTTTCACCACATAATGGATGCTATCTTTGTCAAACAAAAGGGATGCTTTTTTATTGATGGCCCTGGAGGCACTGGAAAAACATTTCTATACAAAGCTTTGCTAGCTGAAATAAGATCAAAGGGTTATATAGCTCTTGCAACTGCATCATGTGGAGTTGCAGCATCTATCTTACCCGGATGACGAACAGCTCACTCGCGCTTCAAAATCCCTATAGATATGAATCCAGCTAACATGTGTAAAGTTAGCAAACAAAGTGCTTCAACAAATTTAATTCGTCAGGCAAAATTAATTCTTTGGGATGAAGCACCAATGACTCATCGACATGGAATCGAAGGAGTTGATAAACTTCTAAGAGATCTCATGGACTCCACAGAATTATTTGGAGGAAAAGTTATTGTATTCGGCGGCGATTTCAGACAGGTCTTACCCGTAGTCACAAAAGGAATCAAAACAGATTTTATTGAAGCAAGTATCATTAGTTCCTATATCTGGCCACAACTCACGAAGCTTCATCTCAGCCAAAATATGAGAGCTATAGCTGATCCACAGTTTACTGCTTATCTCCTTCGAATTGGAAATGGAATGGAGCCACTGATCGATGATACCAACATTCGCGTCCCAGACCACCTTCTCATACCCTATACTAATGAAGATGAGTCCATCAATATACTCATAAATTCTGTTTTTCCAGATCTTACAGCTTTTACTAATGAAAACTTTTCTTTGATAAATCGAGCAATACTTACAACTAAAAACGAATTTGTTGATGAACTAAATAACATCCTTATACAGAACTTTCCTGGACAAGCACATGAATATATAAGTCGAGATAAATCCATTATAGAATCAGAACAAGCAGTCTTAGAAGATTTCCTTAATAGTTTAACTCCAAATGGTTTCCCAGCTCATAAAATTATCCTGAAACCAAATACACCAATAATTCTACTAAGAAATATTGATCCTCCGGAAGGTCTCTGCAATGGCACCAGGCTTATATGTAAATCTTTAACACAAAATATTATACATGCTACTATTAGTTGTGGTGAATTTACTGGTAAAGAGGTGTTTCTTCATAGAATCTGTTTTCGAATAGATAATGATGCTGATTGCCCTGTTTCTTTTGAAAGAATTCAGTTTCCTGTTCGTTTGTGTTTCGCAATGACTATTAATAAAGCTCAAGGTCAAACTTTAGATTATGTTGGATTATACTTACGTGAACCCGTATTTTCTCATGGACAATTTTATGTAGCAATGTCTAGAGCTAAAAATAGAACATCTATTAAAATACTAATTAGACCCCCTAATTTCAGTACTGAATCATACAATGTCACACAAAATATAGTATACAGAGATGTTTTAGACATAGCAAATAACTAGCTCTATTATCATTCGTACATTACTCCTGTTGGTTTAATAAAAACTGAACATAGCTCCATATGATGAATATCCTGTTTCATACTAATTTATAGCTTTAACTCTTTACATCATTCCTTTGCAGCATCTCTTAACTGACAGGCATTATTCAGCAACTTTCTTTTTCACTCATGGAAAGGAATATCAGCAAGCTCAATGAAATTGTACCCAATATGCAACACTGGACAGCTATAGTTCAAGTGTTTGACAAACAAAAAGTCCAAATATCAAAGGCTGGAAACAAATACAAAAAATTAGTTCTGGTTGACGATGAGGTATGATTAGCTTCTCTTTTATATATAACTACATAACAAACAACTAATTATAATTGCTTTTTTTTTACCATGGAAAACAAACTTCCTCTCGGGGAAACAAAGTCGATGCCATCATCTGCAAATCTGACATAGAGTTCTTCAAAGATCATTTCCATCTTTACAAAAGGTACATGATATCAAATGCACGAGTGGAGCGAACACAGTTAGAATACCAAACTCATGAGAACCAGTGTAACTGGATAATCGATAACTCTACTGTTGTTGAGGCTATCCAAGAACCAAACCCTCCGCAGCTTCCTCTCACAATCAACTTCACTCATTTCAAGAAATTCCACCAACATATAGATGATAACAGCGAAATAGGTACACAACTTCAACAAAAAAAATATAATTCTATATTGAATTTGTTGTAACAATCTAAATATATATAACTCTTCTCCAAGTAGATGTCCTAGGTGTTGTCAGTGAAGTTCATCTTCGTACCTACAAAGGAACAACACCAAAGAGAGAAATCATACTTATCGATCAAAGGTAACAATCACATCTATCAGATCTCATATCAGACTTATTTTAGCATATTCCTTAATTCTGTCAAATAAATAAACAGTTTAATGCCCGTAATCTTGACGCTCTGGGGAGACCATGAAATTGATGAAGGCCAAACTTTAACCAACATGGTACAGAATATGCCTTTCATTGCTGCTCTACGACTCAAAGTGACTTCTTATCATAGTAAGTACCTACCTACATTCTAATTACATTACCATATACAAATTAAATTGTACTTATAGATCCAGATATCTTCACCGCAGCTATGAATCTGTCTACGAAATTTGGCTCTAGCATTCTGATAAACCCACCAATCCAGCAAGCTTCTGAGATCAAAACATGGTAAATAATACCCTCATATTATAAAACTTTTCCAATCATTCACTACTTAATTACATTTGCATGAATAGCTTCTATCCTGACAAAAACATACAATGCAGGACAACAAAAAATGAGTATCAAATCCGACATCTAATGGCTGACAAAGCATACAACGATCGATCAAGATTGCTACCATTACCAGATGCAGAGGAAATGACCACAATAAGAGACTATCTTCAGTTTCCCTTAGTAAATTTCACTTACACAACTCCTTTCCACAAAACACACAGGTCAATCACTATATACCACAATAGAAAAAAAAAATTTAATAACCATACATATATGTGACAGCAAAAGGCTTATTGGATACAAGGAACTCCTAAACTGCTTGACCGAAGTCAAAAATTCTGGTACAATGCATGCCCCCAATGCTTCAAATCTGTGCGTTCTATTCCACAGTGGCCAATTGTCTGTGCATCTTGCAACACACGCGTCCAAGTCAGCCCAAGGTATGATCGAAAGCTCCACTTTAACAAAATATTTACAAGTTGTTATCTACTAAAAAAATTACATCACAACAATCTTCACTTGAAAATAGATGTCGATTGACTGTGCAACTAGAGGATTACACTGGAAATATGACCCTGGATCTCTATGGAAATGATGCTTCTCAGTTGCTTCCTTTTACAATACAAGAAATTCAACAACAGGAGCAACAGGTGAGCATATATAAACTAAATACATTCTAACCTCCTATTATTACACAAACACCTACATATACCTTACACTAATAAAAACTTGTGATTCTCTTTACATTGCAGAACAAACTCAACTATCAAGCAATAGAAGACAGTGTCAGCAGCAGCATAATAGTCTGCTTCATCAAGAAGACTGCTTCAAACTATGTCTCAGGAACCAACATGAAATACTCAGCTATCATAGTACACAAACTTCCTAACATCACCGATACTTCAGAAAGCAGCTCCAACGCAATTAGTGGAGAAAAAAATACAACAAAAATGCTCATCGACTCTCCACCACAGCCAGAGACAACCGAAGTTGCACACACACCTGAATCTTCAGCAAATGTAGACAGCAATCTCCTCACCGCACTCAAACTGACAGAGAGCCCCATCAAAAAACAGCGTACCGACACCTAGACAAAATAAGCTTAAAAAATCTTTTGAAACTATAAAAAGCTCTAAGAAGCTTTAGTTGTAAATATCTGTAAATACGTGTGAATGTCTATATAACAAATGCAATGCAGCGACCTTTTGCAGAATACACTTTTCACTCAGTTCCTCAATGCAATAACATAAAAAAAAATCCCTCGATCTAGTATATATATATATATATATATCAATAACTCGTTTATTGAAACATTTACAAGCCAGAGGAATAAAAGCAATCATGAAAGTAAAGGATCTGCTGAAATTACTTTGGTGCTCCGTGCTCATGGTACGCACTGTCCCCATACTTATTCTTTAAAGTACCTGAATAACTAGCAATATTGTATCAGCAGCACATGCTGATGCAGATCTTGTTTCCTTGATAGATATTAGCGTGTTTTTATCATTTATTACTAGATAAGAATTATTTGAGGATTACTATTGTTTGAGTTTATATCAAATATAGTAATTATTAATCACTCGTTTTGAATTGGATAGATTTTAATTGTGAGGCCCCTGATCATGGTTTACGGCCACTACTGTGGGCTCAATTGTTTCACATCGGTCGCCATATAGCGATCGCGAATTGGGTGATACACACATTTTGATCGCAACGGATCTTCTGTCCCACATTCTGTGCCATTCTCTGTCTCACTTTTTATTATATTGCTATTTCTCCTACATAAATATCATGTTTTAGTTCTTTTTTGTTTCCTTAAAATTTAATAACTATTAATTGAGTAAAAAATAAATACAGCAGCTTAAAAAAAGTAATATATAATAGAAAATTAAAAAATACAGCAGAAAATTCATAAAAAATCTCATTTTTTATGCATTTTGATTTTTTGAGTATGTTAAATTTTGTGTATAACTCAATTAATAGTTATTGGATCTTAAGAAAATAAAAAAGAACTAAAATATGATATTTATGTAGGAGAAATAGCAATTTAATAAAAAGTAGGATAGAGAGTGGCACAGGGTGTGGGACAGAAGATCCGTTGCGCATTTCGACTAAGAATATTTTTTTAAATCTAAGAAAATTATTAAAAATAAAAATACCATAACAAGCACGATAATAAAAATAAATAAATTGCTATATGTCTTCATTGGTATAGCCAATCATTGATTCTATGAAAGAAGCTGATGCTGTTTTGACCATCAACATAAAAAGACTACAAATGTGTATTGATGTCAACATGACATACATTTTGCATTCCCATTTTAACTTTTAAGTGACACATTCTCTAATGACCTTTATTATAGTTTGATAATGACCTTTATTATAGTACAATAAATATAGTTTCAAAACACGTCAAATAAATTTGTAATAATAATAACTACCAAATTTAGAGAACAACTATCAACAGTGCATTAAGAATTCCATAATAAGTGAAATGAGATGATTTTGGTGAAAACACCAATCACCTTGTCTGAATTTGGTAAGTTTCTAGCC